GAAGATCCTAGTAAGTTACTTTTGTAATTTCTAGTACAATGATATATTTCTAAATATTTGCATTTATTTCGTAGAGAACGGTTTTAATGGCTGGAATACTGGAGATTTCGTTGATAATCTTTGGCCGAACTATCAGGATGGTTATTCATGGTTTCGCGTTTTTGGTGTATTCTTTCCCACAGTAACTGGTGTTTTATCTGGTATTAATATGAGTGGTGATTTACGGGCACCTTCAACCGATATACCAAATGGCACATTAGCAGCCTTCGGTACATCGTGAGTAGATGCACATTGACTTTTGAATAAATTTTGACTTAACTGTATTTTTTTTCCAACTTAGTACCTTCCTTTACTTGGTTTTTGTGCTTTTCCTTGGTTCCACGTGCTCTCGTGTTACACTGCTTACTGATTTCATGATATCCGTTAAAGTTTCTGCAGTGCAATTTTTACTCTTATCCGGAATTTATGTGTCAAGTATGTCATCGTGTTTAGGCGCTATGTATGGCACACCACGCGTTTTACAGAGTATAGCAAATGAAAGTGTAATTCCAGGCATCGATGCACTTGGCAAAGGCGTAAGTTTTAATATTAATTTGTAAATTACATACAATTATATACGAATTTTTATTTTATAGCGCGGTCCTAACAAAGTGCCACTGTATGCTATGGCGGTTGTGGCTGTCGTTACTGTAACTTTTATTATTGTTGGTGATATCAATTTCTTGGCACCTATTGTAACCATGCCATTTTTGCTGACCTATGCTTGTATTGACTACTCATATTTTGCATTGGCACAAACATTTGATATACAAGAGCAGCGAGAAGAACGTTTTCGTATACAAGCTTCGAGTCCTTCATATGAGACTCGTCGTTATGGTTCTGTACAGGAAGGAAATGATTTGGATATTCTCTTCCCCGATCGAGTACGTCATAAGAATTTACAAAGCCCACAAAACTCACCACTACATGTGCCTTCAACAAATGGAGCTTCTAGCAATGAGACTGAACGAAATCATATCCAGCAAAATCACAATACTAATGATCCAAATGCTGTCATAATACGAGACGGTTTCAATAGCACTAATCAAGATGCTGCGCCCGAAGGTGCAAGTCCACATGAAAATGAAGATGAAGAACCCATTGCACCAATACGTCCACCGATTCATTCAAAAACCAAAAATTGGTACTCTGGTTATTGCAATCGCTGGGCATCACTTTTAGGCGTAAGTCTAATATTAGTTAAATTTTTATTGTTGTAGAAAAAGAATAGTTAGTTCATTTTTTCTGAAGATGTTATTATGTTGTTGTTATGATGTTGTTATATTTATTTTCAGGCTTTCACAAAATTATTAGTGATGCTCTTAGTGAATTGGTACTACGCGTTAACCTGCTTCTTAGTTGTCTTTATTATATGGTTTTACGTAGGCACAGCCAATCCAGCGGTGAAACCTGGTCTAACGGCAGAGTTTAACTTTTTTGCTTGGCTTAAAAGTGTTATATTCAGATGCTTCGGGTAATTGAAAAAAATTAACATCTATTAATTATTATAACTATTTTTTTCTTGTTATGTTTTAGTAAACGTATGCATGAATATGAACAAATTGTGGTAACGCCGTCTTGTCCTGGTGTTGATTTCTCACCGACACAATTAAATGATGAAAATGAAGACTTTTCACAGCGAAGGCGATATCATCAGTCTTCAGTAGTAGAAGGTCATTTAGTGGATACTATATAATTTATTTTTTTGTAAGGAATTAATATGTAATTAAAAAAAGCTCAATAACCGTTTGCAGCAATTGGACCAACCAATCAACCAAATGTATTAACAAAGCAATAATACTCTATACCACATCTGCTTTTGCTTTTTTAATTCAAATCTCTGCCTCTATAATCGCTACAATATATATTTTTAAAGTTTTTGAACACGATGTATAAACCCCAGCGCAAAAATATTAAACAATTTTTACTAGACTTGTTGTGCATTTATATATTATATTTTATATTATTTGTTATTGTAAATTTTAGCTTTTTTAATTACGTTGTCAATTTTCAAACTTTATTCATTTAACTAAAATACTTAAAGTATGTTTCCTTAAGTTGCGATACGTGCTTAAATTGATTAAGGAAGCATATGTGATAATGAGATAATAAGTAAAGGGAAAAACATTACTTAAACGTTGAGTAAAATATTGGAGAAATTTATAACACAAAATCAAAAAAATTTAATTTAAAAATTAAATTAAAAAATATAAATTAATGTTTCTGAAATTACTAATATTAAGTAATATAAATATTTTCAAAATTGTTTAATATTACTCTTCTGTTATATTAAATTGTAATTTTTTGTACACCTATTTATATAAATTTCTATATATACATAAATATATATATATATATATAAACAAATACAATATATCGTAAAAAATACAATATATCGTAAATTATACTAAGTACTACATACAGATTTGCTAAGTGCTATGAAAGAATTATCGTTGTAAGTTTTATAGCCCAATGTGTATTTATTAAAATGAATGTATAACTGAAATTTTTGAATTGTGTAAATTAAATAAAAAACTAATAAACTAATTGTAGGTAAATGTAAATGAGTATCTAATGTATGAAAATAAAGTATAACTATTTATTCATTACGAAGTTCATTATTATTATTCGTTGTTAATTAGTTGTCAGAATTTTTCACTCGTTATGATCGAAATAAATTTATTGAAATTACCTATACCCTTTTCGGGATTGCACCCATCAAATATTTTAAGTGCACAAAAGAAGGCATTCAAAAAATAAAATTGATTTCTTAATATGTTTAACAACAAACTGATTTCATGATTTATTGGTCTTTAAGTTTTAGTATTTATGTCATAAGACATAAAGAAAATATATTGTTTTTATTGTAGTTATAAAATTTATTTATATACATGAAACATAAAAGTGATGCAATATGAATTTTAATATAAATCTGCGAAATTCGATTCATAAATTCCTTTATGAACTTCTAGATTTCAATATCCGGTTTTGCACCGGTTTGGTTCATATCCTTTTTAGTAACTGTTTGTTTCTTAAGCAGAATGATAAGATCTAATCTATGAGGTTGAGAACCTTTCACGTTCATTGATCAAAGAACAGCTTACCTAGGGTAGCTATTCTCTATCTCATGAGAACAGGCTATGAACACAGAATATGTGAAATAGTTTCGTATTCGTCTGTTTGTAGGTATGACAGTATAAGTGTTCCCTATTCTAATCGCCTGTTCTCCAATAAGCCAAAAACGAGTAATTATTGCCAACAGTTTAGATAGCTGTAGTGTTCTTGTAACCCGCTGGGATCTTAAAGCAGATGACAGGAAAGGATTTACATAATGAATACATGGGTTATGATATGGATCCGGGTCCAGACGGAGAAACCTACCCACTTGAATGGGGTGCATTTAACGATAGGGTGATCCCTTGCATTTCTGTTTATTGACTATAATATTTGTTTCATATTGTACCCCGTCCATAATGCCCTACTAGTCTTACAAAATTTTTCCATCCATAAATCGTTTCTATGAGGCATTTGTTTTAAACGCACTTTTAACCACATTAAGTCGTGTGAGCAACAGCTCTGTGTTTCATTCATAGCAGATCTATTTTTCGTCAGCTTATCAGCTATTTCTTTGTTCTATATTTTTCGATTATCTGGAACCCAGATCAGAGTAACATGCAATTCGTTTCAGATGGTTAAACTTTCTTTGTTTTGTCTTACAAGATACATCCTACTGACCTTCCTAATTGTAAGCACTTTTGTTCAGAAAACATAAGACGTCTTGGGAAGTCACATAGAATTTTTAAGGAATACGATACTGGAGTTATTATTCTCAATTAGACTATGATCAAACTTACATTTCATAATTATATACGTATCTATAATCGCAAAGAGTATCGGGATGACATTTAAAATATTGGACCCCTTATATAGTGTAAGAAACGGAAAAATTCGTATGGAAATGGAGTCAACTTTCAATATTCAGCAAGAACTAAGAGTTAAATAAAAGTCAATCCATAGAAACTTATTTAATTTATCATTTGTATTCATTTTATTTGCATCATATTTTTTAAGAACTTGCAGTACTTATTTTTAAGTACAAGCATTCACTTATTCGAAACCCAGTAGTCCATTAGTTTTATATAGTGTAAGGAAACTGTTAGGCATGTCATAATAGGGAAGGAAATACAACAGTGTATAAATCATGAAGTTTATATATCAAGGTTGTCCAGACTAGATCCGATCGCGGGCCAATACCAATTACTGTATAGATTGGAGGGCCGCAAAAACAAATACATACGTTCATAGTTGTAATAAAAACAAAAATAAAAACAAATTTATCAATTTAAATTCATTTACTTGGTATACCATAAAAATAAAGTTCTAAGCCAGGTAATTACAGTCCAAACAAATTATATACGAACTATATACTAATTAAGAAATTCGAAAATTTCCGAAAAGACCACTGATGATGAGTACTTAGCAATGCTCGAAACATGGTGAGCCAAATTTTAATAAATTAAATAAAATTTTTGTCCTTGTCTTTTTTTTGCTATTCGAATTCGTCTAAAATAATAAAATTTACCAGTACATCAAAAGAAAATTCGTGTTATTGAAGTAGATTAAAAACATGTCGCATGTGCTTTGGACAGCCCTGTTATATATTAACAGAATTTCGTTTTACTTATTTGGACTTAACGAGCATTTACTGTATTTTCGCTGTACAGAATTAGGTACTTTTCAAAGGCAATACAATTTTTCTATGAATTATAACAGGGACAGCTCTGTTATATATTAACAGGTTTTCATTTTACTTATTTGCACTTAACGAGCATTTACTGTACTTTCACTGTACAGAATTAGGTACTTTTCAAAGGCAATACAATTTTTCTATGAAATATAATTATTTTTTTTTTAATTTTATAGGAAAATTTATTTCTTATTAAACATCTTACAAGACAAAAAATATGAAATTACGTTTTAAAATAAATTCACATTATTTACCATTTATTTATTTGAATTGTCGGTAAATATTAGCTTCAATTTCCAACACTTTGAGAGTGACTGTGTTTTGTGGTGCATGCGCAATTTTGAGATTTCCCTTGACTGGAGCATATTTAGGGCGGAAACTCTTTCATGATATACAAAATATTTTAGCATTAAAACGTATCGAACGGTTTTCTAAAGCGGTCACAGACAAGAAATAACGCATTGCACAGAAAATTTTATACAGTAAATATATTTTAAGTAAAAATCCAACATTAAAAATGTATTAGTTATAATGTTGTTATACGAATGAATGCATTAAAATTAAAGAAAAGTGATTTTTATGCACGGTTTGTGTAATTGAAATGATAGAAAAATGCTTATTGCAAATGAAAACCAAGTAGTGAAAAATTTCAATGCATATATATATAAAAATGTATATATATAAATGTGCAGTTAAAGCCTAAAGATGTTAAAGTTTATTAAAGAAAAATTTAAATATTTGCGTTTACTTTTAATTACAATGATATAAAACTTCAATTTTAATAACAATGCTATTTAATGAGAAAAAATATTTTTTTCACATAAATTATGAATTATGAATTTTTAATGAACCTGTGCTAGGATAATAAAGAAAGAAGGATGTAAATTTTTGCTTAAATCTAACTGTTGTGTTTCGCAGATAAAAATAGTTAGAATTATTTATAATTTTATGTGTTAAATTATATAAGTTATTAATTTTTTAATTTTAATAAATTTATTAAGTAAATTAGATTATATATGAATTAATTTTCATTAAATTTTAAATGTGAAAAGAATTTTTATTTTTTATGCTTGCAAATTTAAGTTAAAAAATGTTTAATGTCACTGTTTCTGCTACAGTTTGGGAAACGTTGTGACTTCTCTGCTGAGAGCTACTTTGTGCACGCATTGAGAAATGAAAAACGAAAACTGAGCACATAACTTCACGCGAAAAACATGCAAAAAAATGTTTATCAACTTCCTTGCCGGTGTCATAATTGAGCAAAAACATTATGCCAAACATAAACAAACAAAAAGTTTTGGTGGTGTTGGAAAAGCATGCGCATGCCAAACAAAACAGGTGTTCTTCACCTACACATGCAAAGCAGCAATTTCAGCAATATTTACATTTCAGAGAAAATCATAATAATATTGCGATAGAAATTCCTGTAGGAATAATGCTTGCATATATAATAAATAATGTATAATGTGTAATATTAATGAAAAATGTCTTAAGAACAAAAGACTTCATTGTAAGGACATAAGAAATTTAAATAAATAAAAAAAAACTTTTATACCAAAAGCAGTAATTGCATGCATATATAAGTTAATGTGTTAATGTGTGTGCCTACCTACATTCGGCATGTGCACATACTTACATACAACTACCGGAAATTGTCTAGTGTATTTGTTGTTGTTTTTTATGGGATGGGTCACCTAAAACACGTGCCGCAGGCTACTTTGTGTACATAAATTGGCAGAGAGCTTAAAGTCCTAAAAAAACAGTTTTCTTTTTAATAACAAAAATTTTGCATTCTGTGTGTTCGTGTGTGTCCTCTTGAAACCTCAAGTAGCTTAGCAGTGAAATTATTCTTCAACTTAAGATTTACTTAAACGCACCGCAAATACACTTGAACAAATTTTTTGCTAAGCTTTTGTTGGTTTTATTCCTCTTTCTCTACCTCCTCCTCCTTCCATTATATTTCATTTCGTTTGATTTGTTTGCAGTATTTAAAGTTTTTGCCAAAATGTTAATACGTTGGAAAAGTAAAGATAAAAGTTCATCGAATCAGAGCAGCAGCAGCAGCAGCAGCTCCTCGAAAAAGAAACGCAAAGGACGTGAAGGAGGTACGTAATTGTGATACATACTAAGCATGTGAATATGAATACTTCATAATTTTTGGTTTATTTGTGCTACTATTCGGTATCAGAAGAAGACTGGCAGAATGAAAGTAAACCCGGCAGAGCACCAACAAATGAACAGAGTAAGTTTCTACAAAAAAAACAAAAAAAAGACAAAAAGTTTCAAGTTTGTTAAAAAAAAAAAAAAATTCCCATACTCTTAATTATTTGTAGTGAAAATTGCAACTAATAACTCTCTATTGCTTTCTTCTCAGTCAATCATTCTCTAATAATAATTTTAAATGTCAACCTTTTCTACAATATTATATATCATATGAAAATGGTCATGTAGATAGCGGGAACTACTAAAAAACACGGATTGTTCTTTAAAGACTTGAAAGTATAAAAATCCTGATACATTGTGGCATATCAAGTTCCAGCTAGATGATAACCCCTTATTATACAGAATAAACAAGTGTAGTTCTTCCACTTGCTATGTGAAAATCTAGAATTCTTCCAAAGAAGGAGGTAGTCAACGTGTTTAAAAACTTCCCCACTTTTAAAAATATAAAATTTAAAAATATAGAAATTTGAAAATTGAAAAATATTAAAATTAAGAAATAAAATTAACTTCTGCACTTTTCAAAATATATAATTTTAGAAATATAGAAATTAAGAAATTTAACAACTTCCCCATTTTTCAAATGATAAAATTTCAGAAATATATATATTTAAAAATTAAATAAATAGAAATTAAGAAATATAAATACCCATTTTTAAAAATATATAATTTTAGATATATATAAATTTAAAGATTAAATATAAAGAAATTAAAAAATAAAAAATCCATTTTTAAAAATATAGAATTTTAGATATATATAAATTTAAAAATTAAATATATAGAAATCGAGAAATATAAATAACTTCCTTAAATGTAGAGTTTTAGAAATATAAAAATTTAAAAATTAAATATATAGAAATTAAGAAACATAAATAATTTCCCCACTTTTAAAAATATAGAGAAACATAAATAATTTCTCAATTTTTAAACATATAGAATTTTAGAAATATATATATTTTAAAATAAAATATGTAGAAATTAAGAAATATAAATACCCACTTTTAAAAATATAGAGTTTTTGAAATATATAAATTTAAAAATTAAATATATAAAAATTAAGGAATATCCCTACTTTTAAAAATATAGAATTTTAGAAATATATAAATTTAGAAATATAGAATTTTAGCAGTAATGAAATTTCGAAATTCAAATATAAGAATATAAGAAATATCCAAATTTAGAGACATGAATAATTTCCTCACATTCAAAAATATAGAATTGTAGATATATAAGAACATAGAAATTTAGAAATATTAAAAACTTTCCCACTTTCAGAAATATAAAATTTTAAAAATATAGAAGTTTACAAATATTTATAATTTTAATAAAAAATAATTTAAATAATTCACTTTTTTTTTGTGGAGAGGAAGTTTAAAAATTTCTAACGCGTCGTCACTATATCGTTACAATAGTGGTATAGTGAAATAATTTAGGATAGATTTCCTATGTTGGTTTTTTATTAAAAAATTTTGTTTTTCTTCGTTAGCCTACTTCCAGGCCTCGCTTAGGTCAGCATTATCTTTGTTGACATAATTCACTTTTAGAAATATAAAATTTTAGAAATATAGAAATAATTTCCACACATCCACACATTCATTCACACACTTTAAGAATATAGACCTCACTAGCCACCTTCAAGTATTAATGGAAATGAATAATGTACGATTTGTACTATCATCAATTCGAATTTGTGAAAAGTGGAGACCTATTTTCGAACAAGAATTCAATTTGAAAACAAAATGATAGTTTTAGTGTTATATATTCAAGAGGTGGTGGGTACTATCTAGTAACTCTCTTGAATACAACACTGACAACAATACCAATTGACCATACATAGGTATGGTCTATTGTAATATAGTACATATAAATAAATTTAGTAAAAATAATAAATATTTATTAGAACATAATACAAGATTTGGGAGATACATCCAACAAGTACACAACAACAAAGTCGGTAAAAATATAAACACTCTAAAAACTAAATTGGGCGCAGAAAAATTTTGGATTGGCCTAGAAGACACCAGTAACTGCAGATTTTGTGAAATTTAAATTGAAATAGATTACTAGAAAAACCTTACAAAAATTGTCTTATAACTTGTCTTATAATTCACATATTTATAAAATAGTTATTTTAATTGCAATAAAGCAATTACACCCACATATCTATATGGTATTCTTCACCGATACTGAATGTCGAAGCCGTAATTACGCTTTTGTTACACTATATAAATATTTTTCTATATATTACGCTAATTTGATGATAGAATTCTTAGTTATACAGAAAATATAATGTAATCAACTCGTCTTAAATTCATATAAGATACTTATTATAATTGAATTTAATCAATCTCTACCATAGATACTCTTGTTGTTGTTATACTCTATAAATATTTGTAAACTCATTGTTGTCAATTATATTTATAATATTGTTTAATATACATTTCATATAGATTATCTTTCAATTTATATATAATTTTAATATTATTTTAATTTGTTAATTCAACGTCTCTGATCAGAGATGTTTTTAATTCGACGCTACTGCTTACTTTATGTATCTCATTCAGTATAGTTTTTGATTGTAGATACAAATATATATACTCGTATGAGTTTCTTAGAAATTATGTTGCCTTAATAGTAGCTAACTAATATAATTATAGTTTAATTTCAAAAACGTGGTATGCAAATATTAATTTACTGATTCGCTTAAGGCATTTTTTTAATAATTTCAACACTTCATTTGATATGCGCAGTACAATCTAATTTTAACACAATCACTGCTTTTAGGCGTTTTAACATTTGATGAGTTTGTTTAGTCATTTATCAGATATAAGTAATCAATTTAAGTTTATAAAAAAGCCCATGGCAATGCTAAATTTAAAACATAATGAAATATCTTTAATTTATGAAAAAAAAATAATTAATTATATATTTCAAAAATACCTGTCTATTTGTATATATTATTATTATTTTAAAATAGATTTTAATAAAAAATTAGCTAATTTTATTAATATTTATTTTCCAGTATACTTATGTCGAAATTGTTAAAGATATTAAGTACACTTTTGTACATTTTGTATTTTTACACAGTATTGTTTTTAAAACAATAAAATATAGTACAATAATATATTTTATTTAATTATTTTTTAATTTTTTTCTGAAAACGCTTATTCTACACTGCGAATTAATAAAACCTAAGAAAATAATATTTAATTTGTATAGAAAAAGCGATGTTTCCAAAATGATTAGCGATTTTGTTTTGTTTTTGTTTTCAACAGGTTGGAAGTCCAGGAAGTATCTATTAAGCCTCCCCATTCTCTTCGTATCTTTTTCCATATATGTCATAAATTTCGTTGACGGAACCTACACTTAATTTTTCTCAAAGAAGTGGCAAACTCATTTGCTGTTGTCTATAAGTCTGCAAAGCTACCATATATATAATTATAAGTCTATAAGTCTATAAAGTCTGTAAGTGACCATAGGTTCATAGGTTACTTTTTTCAACAAGATTTGAAATAGGAATATGCTTGTCGTAACTTTTCTAAGATTGAAATATGTTTTATATGAGTATCTTATATGATTTTTCAAAACTTCAACTATTGGATTTGGTGGCCCAAGATTCGAAAGATCAGCTGTCTGGCTATACATCAGATATAATTGGATATTTTTATATAGCAATTTTTTTTTATATATTTCTGTTGAGTAATATATAATAAGAAATTTAGTTCTACAAATATATAATGCGACACTTGAGATATTTCATATTTTAAAACAATATAAATATTATAAGGATTAAGTGCAATTCCTAAAGCCCATGATGAAACACAATAAATCTTAAGGTCTGAGTGCTATACCGCATTTGAAAATAGGTCAGATGAAAAAATAGATAAGATGGTCTTTATTTATATTATTATACAACCCATACAATATTAATAGTTCAACGTTAAAGAATATATTAAAAAATAATAATAATAATAATAAACAATAATATCATTGATACGTTTAAGAATATAATACGACGTGGTTATAACAATTATCTTCTTGATGTAAAGTATAATTAAATTGATTTTTAAGAGAGCTTTTGTGTACTTAAAGTGTACTTAATAGATGTACTAAGTGTACTTAATAAACATGTGCGGATTTATATTGAACCAGTGTTCAGGTTCTATAATTTTACACAATTACAAACGTTTTTCTATTTTACATCATATAAACTATTCAGTTTTTATATAAACATATAAACTATTCAGCATTTAAAAAAAAATTTCTATATTAAAACTGTTTCAGAAAATTGAGAATCAATATAGGTATTATTAAGCTGGATTAATATTTGTAAAGTTTTTTGTCTTGGATGTTGTGTAGAATAGGAAATCATTCACAGTTAAACTTCAAGTTAAAGAAATTTTTTACAATTGTATGTTATTTGCTCTTTAAACCCTGTTGCATTCTATTTAGCTCGATTTATAGAAAATTCGAGTTATAGAAGTTAGAGTTATGGAAGTTTGACTGTATTATATATATTTTACGTCTATTTGTCTGTATAATAAACTTAATATATATCAATTTAAGTATGTAATAATTTATTGTAATATAACAAAAATTATTTATTGATGGGTTGATTAATAAATTAAACAAAGTAACTTTCAATTCAAATTTAAGTTACATTTAAAATGTACATTTAATCTATTTATTTTTCATATGTACTCACCCATTGTTAAATTGGCCATTAATTTAAGTTGAATGAAGATAAAATTTATTTTATGAAGATTCCAAAAATAAATTGTAAAAACGACAATAAGTGATGCTGGACAGCACTATTTTATTTATCTGGAAATAAAAATCATATGATTAATGGATTACTTGAATAATAGAGAAAGAATTTACCAAATTAAGGCACAATTTATACCAAATTTAAATATTATTCAAATCTACTTCTATGTTATATATATTTATATCTACACTAGAATACTTACATATATATGAGATTAAAATTGGGTTTAGTGTGTA